TTTGCCCTTCACCTTAGCTTAGTACCTTGAAGCCCTTTCCTTGCTTTCTTCACCCTATCAAGCCATACTTAAGTCACATTATATTAAGCATCCGTTGAAAAATATTTCTTCAATATTTTGATCCTTGCTTAAATATTTTCTAGATATGAATGTTGAGATCAATCAAGCTTCAGTTTGTCTCACATAGACACATACATGGATCAACATCAATATGGTCAAGCTAATTCACAATTCCTTATTCCCTTCTCATTTTGGCTTGACATTCCAATTGATCTTTCATATATTCATCCATGTAAGCAAACCAATGTAGAGACCGACTTATATCCACTATACATTGTTATTTACCAAGTATGTTTGCTTTCACATGATGCTATGATATCTCACAACATAGAAGCCATTTCATTGATTCCATTTGCATTGTTGTCTTTTGCTTGAACTAGATTGCTTCCATAAACTTCCAATACAACAATACACAGTTTGGCATTCACTTTAACACAATGTGACATATCATCAAGTTTGCCTACTAGTTGAACCTTGTATATACTTGTTAATACACAACCCACAAGTATATGCAATAGACTCAATTTCCTGTTCAACACTTAGCAAACTTATTAGACCTTTAATTGTGTTATCATTCAATTTACCAAAACCCACTAAAGGGCTAGATGCACTTACAAGGATGCAACGCAGACTTGGATCAACTTTGGAACATGAAGAAAATGATCAACACTCAAAAGAAGACATTGGAGGAGGTGTTGATAGACTAGAAGTGAAGCAAGGAGTCCAAGACATGAAGATGTCGAAGCCCGAACAAAGCCACGTGAAGAAACAGAAGCAAACGATGGCTGAGTGGGCACCGCCCTAGGGGTGGTAGTGCCACTAGAGAAGGGCTGCTGTAGCTAGAGAAGAGGGGGCACTGGACAACACCGTGTGCACCGCCCTGGTCACCGCCATGGGGTGGTGGTGCCACCACCCTAAAATTCTAGAGAGCAGCGAAGGGAGACTTGGGCACCGCCCTGTTCACCGCCCTCAGGATGGCGGTGCACCACCCCGGTGAACAGTACCACAATGGTCGGTTGTCAGTGACCAACGGCTAGCTGACGTGGCTGGCACTGTCCTATTTGGTGCCTGGCACCGCCATGTCCGGTGCCCACGCAGAAACATGGAGCTCGGCCCCAACGGCTATATCTTCATTTGTGGCCTCTATATATGACTCCAACCGGCCATTTAAAGTGTGTGGGAACTAAGGGAAGATAGAAGTGTGTTGCTACACCTCATTTGTGCTCTCCACATGCATAGAGCTTAAAGATCACTTGGTGATTAGCGTAGGTGCTTTGCGAAGTACTTAGGTTAGTTAGACCATGCTCTCATGCGCTTGCTCTAGGTTTAGGTCTAGTTACTAGTGAGGTTTGCATACCTCTTGATCAAAGGTGCTTGCGCGCATCGTGCTTGTACTCGGCGGGGCTTGTAGTCTTGCGAGACCACACCAACCTTATTTGTGGTGTGGCCGCCACCGTGTACCGAAGGGAACAAGGCCCACGACGTTTTGGCCGAAAGCTTGATAGTGAAGACAGCGGGGAGTGGCCCGGGAGAGGCTTGCCGGAAGGCACACCGGAGACCCACTTGCGCGTGGAGAAGGCCCGGGGCTATCCACAAAGTTACCCAACCGGGAGTTTGACCCTTGTGATGAGCTCCAACGAGGACTAGGGGGAAGCTTGAGCGCTTCTGGATACATCGATAAAAATATCGGAGTCGTCGACGGGAGTTTGCATCTCTACCTCATCTTTACCTTTCGTATTTACTTTGCTACCTTGATTGTGTGCTTTACTTCCCTAGCTTAGTTGATAGGCTAGTTGATAGGATTGGAACCTAGGTTGCATAACTCTTTTGCGGTAGAGATAGCAACATACCTAGCAAAACCGTAGTTGCACATTTAGATAGATTACTTTCTTACATAGGTTTTGACTAGGTAAAAATAGAGGCCTTAGTTAGAAGTAGAATTTTAAGTTGCCTAATTCATCCCCCTCTCTAGCGTCACAGTCCCTTACAATTCTGATACAAATCCTAAGATATGTAGCAGTTGTTACACTAATAAATGCATGTTGCATGTATTTGTTTATATAATTCTTAAATATTAACTACCTAACATCTTCTCCATGATTCTTATTTTTTTATTTGATACTATCCCTGCCATGCATTTATTTCTATGAATATTGAATACTCTAGCAATTCTTCAAAACCCTATCTTAGATTTGGATACCATCTCACTGGTAATTTATGTCTTTGACTATTGTATCTCTAGCAATTCTACACAATGTTATCTTAGATATGGATAATACCCCTCCCATGTATTCTCGCACATATTTATTTCTATGGCTATTGAATACTCTAGAAATCTCCACAATCCTGTCTTAATTCTAGGTAATATCCCTCCCATGTATTCTATAGCTAGAAGTTATTCCACTCAACTAATGTTCTATTTTATTTTAATATTTATTTCTACTCAAACATCAATGCTCTAGATCTCCATTTCCCTTTTTCTACACTCCTTATTTTGTTTTTTTTTGTAACTATAAACCATAGGTGAAGTTTAATTTTGTGGTCAGGTCTATGAAGATATAGAATTATCATAATGAGACACAAAATGGCATGAAGTGACAACAAGCGATGGGTGGAGATAGAGATGGATAGATAGATAGATCGAGCTTAAAACGTTTGTGTGATGCATTGGTAATGATTACTAAAGAAGTAAGGTCACATATGATGCACCGATGACACCTCATATCCGCAGAGGACAACACGGATGGGTCCGGCCAAGGTGGAGCATATGGTACATTGTGAGATGGAGGGGGTGGTAGAGCATTGTAGGTGGTGTGGTAGAACACTAGGTATATACATGACACATTTGCCATGCACAAAAAAGAATGTAACCATTTCCAATGGGACAAATATGGCCCCATTCGCTGATCTGAAACTTGGTTGAAACTGGCTGAAAACACTGTTTCGGCTGAATTGTTGTGAGAGAAAAACACTGTTCCGGCTGAAAAAAGAAGCCGAACAAGCCGAACATGAGGTAAGCCGAATAGGGCCATAATGGTGGCATGCAGGAGCATGGGAGAGAGGGTTGGAGCAATGTACGATCACCTGGAAGATAACGTGTGATCACCTAGAAGATAATGTTGGTAGATCATATGCTTTGAAGCATGATATAGAAAATCCAGATGATGAATAGAATGCTTCGTTAGTTGCCATAAATAAATGATCAATGTAACACTCAAAAGCAATTCAAATTATCACATCCTTTGTAAACTGAACCAAAAAACCAACGTGGAGGCGGTGGGGGCAAAAAGGCCCCGGTGGCTTGTGAAACATGTTCGCCATTTTTTTTTAGACTTGTTTGGCTTATAAGTCGTACTTTTTCAAACTAACGCAAAGATTTTTTCTCGTCATCAAAATCAACCAACAATAATTTTTCAATGGTGGGCTTATCGAACCAAACAAGCCAAGCTTAACGGGCAGACGGTTACCGTGGAGTGGTGGAATGACAGAGTATACACAGCGTGATATGATTGCGCAATGTTAGCCTTCTCCAGCTCCAATCGCCTTCCACATGAATTTAGAACAATTAAATTTTTGGTCATTTCTAATTTCTACTACATTGGTCAACAACGGTTTGACCGCAACACCGTGACATGCGAATATGGCGTGAGCGAGTGGAGAATGCCTCCGTGAACCCTTCCTCCATGAGGAGGTGAGTTTTTAGTGTGCCTGCCACGTCACCCACGCTATGCGATAAGCAGCAAAGGTGAAACGGAACGCCCTCCTTGTCCGCGCTTTGGGCTTACGCCTGCCAGCAAACACGGCTCAACAAACACCAAGCCGTGTCCCCGAAGAGAGAGAGGAGAGAGAGAGGAAGAAGAAGAAAAAAGACGAAACAAACACCGTGGAGAGCGCTGCCAAAACTGCTCTGCTACGCGGGGGCTGCAACGGAAAGAAAGAGATAATAAAAAAAACTAAAATAATCGTAGTGTAGAAGCCCCGACCCCAGGAGATCCAACAAGGAAACTCCCCCTCTCTTCCTCGTGTTCTTCTCCCTGCTGCCGCCGCGCTCCTCTCCGCTCCACCTCCACCCGTCCCCACCGGCGCCACCTCGCACCCGCAGCACTCAGGTCGCTCCTCGAGGCTACCTACCTACCTACCTACCTCGACGGGCCCCGCACCCGCCCGCCACTTCCCGCAGCCGCAGCAGGACGAGCTCGCCGCCGCCGTGTACCAGGTACGTGCGCCTCCTCCTCCCAGTCCCGTTCTGGCGGCGGAGCGGGAGGATGGGGTTCTGGTTCCTCTCCTGCGCCGCCGCCGTTTACTGGCCCGCGCCCGCAGTCCGTGTTGACCGTTGCGTTGCGTTGCGTTGCTCTGCTTTTTGTTTCTCCAGAAGGAGAGGTCGCTGTCGGTAGCCCCGCCCCACCCTGATTCCTCGACCTGCGCCGCGTGGTTTCACCTCAGGTAGGCTTCCTGTCTTCGTCCCGCGCGTCAATTCCACCTAGGCCACGCCGGTTTTAGAGGAGCTGGGGGGGGGGGCGCTCCGACTCCGAGCAGTTCCTGACATTCGTTTGGGGGTGTACGGTACAGTGGTAGTAGACGATGACCATTCTAGGTTTTGCTCCTGCGATATGACAGCAGTAGTAGTGCTATAATTCCTGCTTAGTGTTGGCCTGCCTGAGCTGTTCATCCTGTTTGCTGACCCCCATTCCCCGCTGCTATTACAGGTTGGAGTGTCTCCATTTGTCAGGATAACTTGCATAATTGAAGCTTTCCTTTGTTGATGATGGGGGCATGCCATGGACCAGAAGTCAGGGGGTTAGGGTTTGGCATGTGGTAGTAGCTCCTGCTTCAGCAAAAGAAGCAAGGATCGCTTTGCTTCTTTTGTCGCTTGTTCCACGGAGGATCTGAATCTTGTCGGTGCTGGTTCGGGTGGCGTCAGCTGTTCTGGGTGGGGTAGTATGATGAAACAGATATTTGGACGGCGCAAGGCGTCCAAAACCGCAGACAAGGAGTTCGCTGGCGGGAGGACGTTCAACCAGCTGTCGGGGTCTGGAGGCGCTGACCTGAGTGGCCAGCCACCAATTCTGCCGGGTACTGGGCACACCTATGGGAGCGGGAACCGTACCAGGTTCCAAGACTCAAGGATAAATGATGCTTTGTTCTCTTCCAACTTCCGACTGTTGCCGAGCTTTAAGGATGTGCCCAATACAGAGAAGCAGAGTCTGCTCATCAAAAAGCTGAACATGTGCTGCACTCTGTTTGACTTTATGGATGCCGCAAAGAACATAAAGGAGAAGGAAATAAAGATGCTTATGTTGTTGGAGATAGATGAGTATGTCAGGACTGCTACCGTGAAGTTCCCTGAGGTTGTTGTGGAGGCAATCACAAAAATGATCTCAGTGAACTTGTTCAGGACACTAATTTCCCCACCCAGGGAGAAGAAGGTGCTTCAAGCTTTTGATCTAGAAGAGGATGAACCGTTGATGGACCCTGCGTGGCCACACTTGTACCATGTGTATGAGTTGCTCTTGACATTTGTTCAGTCTCCAGAAAATGATGCTAAACTGGCTAAGAGATATATTGACAATTCCTTTATTCTGAGTCTGCTTGAGCTCTTTGACTCCGAGGATGCTAGGGAGAGGGATCGCCTTAAGACGGTACTTCACCGTATCTATGGGAAGTTCATGGTGTATCGGCCATTTATCCGGAAAGCTATCAATAACATATTCTACCAGTTTATATATGAAACAGAAAAGCACAATGGAATTGCAGAGCTCTTGGAGATTTTTGGAAGTATCATCAACGGGTTTGCTTTGCCACTCAAGGAAGAGCACAAACTGTTCCTTGTAAGGACCTTAATCCCACTTCACAAGCCAAGGTGCACTACAGTGTACCATCGACAGTTGTCTTACTGCATTACACAGTTTGTTGAGAAAGATTGCAAGCTTGCGGATACTGTTATTAGGGGCCTCATAAAATATTGGCCTGTCACCAACAGCGCAAAGGAGGTACTGTTCTTGGGTGAGTTGGAAGAGATACTAGATGCAACACAGCCTGCCGAGTTTCAAAAATGTATGGTTCCTCTTTCTCACCAGATCGCTCGCTGCTTGAACAGCTCTCACTTCCAGGTAACAATTATTCCCTCTTAAGCAACTTTATTTGTTATCTATTTCTCTTTTTCTTGAGTTGTTGACTTGTTGGCCTACTCTTCTGTTGTCAACATTGGATTAGTTGTGCCTGTGAGATGATTATCATATTTTGCTTGGCTAAATGTTATTCTATGCTGATTGTTATAATAGTATTACCTCCTTTCGCCAACTTAAAAATCATTTCACTTGTTTATTCTGTTGATTTCCAGTTTACTTTGTCAGAAATCTTTGTCAAATGTGTTCGCCTTGAATGTGCATATCATCAATTTAATCTCCCTCTTTGTTTAGTTTTTATTTTCTATAGCCTTAATTGCAATAGTTGAACGGAAGAAACATAATTTCTGTTTCCTAATTTGTATTTTGATTTACTGTCATTGTCATCTTGAATCGCTGATGATAGAAAAGGCAGGCCTCATTTAGCTTCTGAGCATCACTATTTCATGGTTTTTTTCTGTGTAACCTAGTTCACCATAACTATTTTAGCACTTAATAAAATAGCATATACTCATGCCATTAAATGTATTCTTTTTGTGAACTCAAATTAATTTGTCAAGTGCTAAAATTTTATTATCACCTATTATCTTAACTGTTCATTATCAGTTAATTGTGAAAACAACACAACAGAGTACTTGATTTTTTTTTATTTTAACAGTTATTTAACTTTGTCAAAATTTGGGCTTCCAGTTATAGTTGTTGCAAATAGCTCATTGTGTGCACATATTTCCATTCTGTCTAGTCTATAGAGATTTGCTCTTTGAATGGCCTTTTACTTTGATAGTGCAAAATCAAACCATCGACCATCTAAAGAAATGACGATTTAAGGAAGAGCTACAATACTTTCAACAGCTAGAGGTTGCTTCTGAAACATTCCTACCCACATTGGAGTTAATACTGTAAGCAGAAAAAAAATTTGATAGGTTCCCATATTTTTTTTCAATAGTAATTAAACTTATTGATGTCCATATAGTTAGGACTCAGGATTCCTAAACGTTTCTTTTGTAAAAAGATATGCCTAAGGACTCAGGATTCCTAAACGTTTCTTTTGTAAAAGTTTGATGTCCATATAGTTAGGACTCAGGATTCCTAAACGTTTCTTTTGTAAAAGTACGGATTATAAGACAAGCGAACAGCCATTCTTTTGTAAAAGTACGGATTAAAAGATTGTTTTTCCTTAGGTTTGAGGCCCTGTTTGAATACAAAATATTTTTTGGAGTTTTAGATAAATACTATGGTTTTATGAAATACTTTGGTTTTAGAGTGACATGAAGTGTTTGGATGCAACAAACTTTATGATTTTGATGAATACCATGGTATTGCTAAAACTGTAGTCCTTTTGGAGTTTTTAAACTCCACTAATACTTCTTTTTTCTAAACCATGGTTTTGCACATCAATGGGTTCTAAAACTGTAGTTTCTGAATACTACAACATCCAAACAAGGCCTAAAGGGTAGTGTTTGAGCCATGAAGGTGAGAATTGTAGCGATGGTTTCCAAAAACAAAAAACAAAAACTAAAATGTTTTGGTTCCCCCTCATTTTTGTACATTGGCTTTGAGTTGTGTTGACAGCAAGAGGAAGCATGTTGCCAACCATGGGCATGCACCATCAAGCAAGTATCCATGTAAAGAAATGTTTTGGAACTCAGGAATAAATTACTGCAAGTGCTGAGATTAAACACTACCTGCACACTACCTGCATATTAGCTCATAAATGTTTTTCATTTCCTTGGTGTTAACTATATGCTGTATATGAAAACCTTAAATGCTCTGCATGATCATTGTAAAATAGACATTGACCTAATGAAAGAGTCGCATTAGTCCAAGTATTGTATTGGAGATATTGTTGACAATGTCGATGCCCTAGTGGACTTCTATTTGGCATGGAGGGAGTAAAAATAATTACTGCCTTGCTAAGCATTCTGGGGTCTTTTCCTTGAACTTATATTTGACTCTACAATGGCATGCTTCAGAAAATATACTTAGAAAATATACTTAATTTTGTTAGATCACAAATTGTAAAATTTCTGAGGTAATGCTTGATATTTGAAATTTTTATCTGAGATGGGAAACAACAATTGGTTGGAAATACTTTTTAGAAAACCATGTATAACCATTTGAATGGCTGCTGTTAACTGAACTGTGTACTTGTATATGGATTGATCCCTCCAGTTTTGGTAATATATATTCATTTGGAGGCTTGAATGCTTGATTTATTTCTCTATTGCTGTCTATATTATAAGTTCTGATTGCTAAAGTTTTATTTGTGTACTTGCACAATAAGGCTTTGTTTGGTTGTTAGGGTTTAAATCCCTAAGAGGATCCTATCCATGGAAGGATTGAGTGTATCCCTTCTATATCACTCAATCCTCTTGGGGGTTTAATCCCTTTGTTGTTTTAATCCATGACCCTGAAAACCTATTCGGTTAATCCCCCGCACTCCGCAGTCATGATCACACGAGGACCCAGCGACACAACAGCGCGGCCTACTCGAGGAGAAATTCCACGGCTCTGTCGTGGGGGGTGATTTCCACGCCGGGGTGACAGGGTTTCGTGGGGAATAGGCCGGGGTAGTACCCATGAGTGGGCTAAACGAACAAGTGATTTTGCATGGGCCGGGGTAGAATCTAGCCCGGGGTCATCCCCGTGGATCAGGCCACAAACCCGGCCAGGAAGGGGCCAACCGAACAAATCCTAAAAGGGAAAATGGGGCCTGATCTTGATACCCAATACTACCTTTACCATTGTCTTTTTGTTCTGTTCTGGTAATTGCTTGAGTATTAATCTATGGTAATGTGCTTATTTAGGTTGCTGAGAGGGTATTGTTTTTCTGGAACAATTCTCACTTCGAGAATTTTGTTAAGCAAAACAGTAAGGTGATCCTGCCTATCATCTTCCCTGCATTGGAGAAAAATATAAATGGGCACTGGAATCAAGTCGTGCAAAGTCTCAGTCTGAATGTCCGAAAGTTATTCTCTGATCGCGACCCTCAATTGTTTACTGAATGCTTGCGCAAATATGAGGAAGACAAAGACAGAGACAAGGAATTTAAACTGAAGCAAGAATTGGCATGGAAACGTCTAGATGAGATTGCATCTGCAAAAGTCACAAGTGGTGAGGCTGTCCTCGTGTCTCCAACCTTGCCTCGTCAACCTTCAGTCTTGTAGGAACCTGCACTCCATGAGTGGTAAGCAAGTTTATTATTGTCTTTTGCTCGATTGATTCAGTAATCTGTTGGTCTCCTGCAGTTTTGGTAATACATGTGTCATTGGTATTTCTAGGTCCTTGCAGAGTCGTTAGACATTGTACAGGATTGGGTTGTAGATAAAAGGGGGTATATGAAGCCACCAAGGCAGGTGTGCGAAACTGAGGAAAGAGATGTGCGAAGCCAATTGTGCATCATTTCTGTAAATCCCTTGCCATGGCTTCTTTTAGCATCCTGGTGGTTCACTTTGCTGCTGTAGTCCGTTGTTTGGGAGATTGGATGTTTTTTTTCTTCTTATAGTAGAAAATGTCGAGATGGCGTGCAGTCAGCTTAAATGATAAAAGTTATAAGTTTTTCTTTCGCATATAGTTTTGATTCAGTTTGTCATGATTGTGAATGCAAGCGAATCATGTCGAATTCCTCAAAATGCTGTAGCGCGGAGGCGGCAGTGCAGTTCATCCTGTGTGACTCTACGCACGGTCGCATTTGTGGGGAATTTGTTTTATTTTATTTATCCCCAGGAAAAAAAAATTACGCGCTGTTTGGTTCCTTCGATGGTAATGCAAATGGAAACAAAATTAGTTCAAATTACATGTCTTGCCGTAATGTCCATAACTCTAATTTATTTCCATTTGCGTTACTGTTGACAACCCATTCTTTTCATCACACTGAGCCATGACGCGGCAGATTTTTTTTGGTTGAGAATTATGACGTGGCAGATGATGAGTATATGGAACATTTATGGTTATGCTAGTGTCGATGTGAACATTTTTTTTCTACATGCTCCCTTCATTCTAGAAAGACGACGTTTTAGCTATGAATCTTATAGCTAAAATGTCATCATTTTTAGGACGGAGGGTGTATATACTAGGGACCCTATCCCTGTATGCTGTGATTGAGTCATGTCCAAATTGGCGTGACTGTTATGTTGGCCTGAATACTTTCTAGTTTCTATTTTTAGACTTCACTTACTACAAAAAGAATTTATAGCAAGGCCACCTATTTTTTAGGACAGCTATATATTGAGTCGTCCCTATAAATAGTGGCTAAATGGGTCGTCTTTATAAATCCATTTGTAGGGGCTGCTGGTGTTATTAGCCACCCTACAAATGGCCCAATTTATAGGGGCCGCTCAGTATCCAGCCGCCCACGTCGAATAGTAAAATTTAAGCATTAAAATTTGAATTTTTCAAACAACTTCGGACGGAGAAATGACTAAAATAAAAATTGTAGATCTCGAAAAGTTATGAATCTTTACTGTTTATAACTTTTACATTTGAAATCATTTACGGCTTCAAAATGGTGTATGAAATTCAATTTTGAAATTGTCGAAGAACTCTGATTTCTCTTTTTAATCTCTGGCTAGAACTTGTAACTATTCTATTTCTCATACTAACTTCAAATTTGATGATTTTTTTCCTAAAATTTTTTAAAATCATGATCTATCAAATTATTGTCTTCTTACAGCTATTAGTTTGTCCATCTTTTCATGTGACTGTTTTATCTATTTGAATTTTGAATTTCAAAAAATGACAACTTCAAACATCAGTTTGAAAATTAAATGATTTTAGCTGAAAAAGTCATGAATATAAAAGTTGTAGAACTCATCAAGATCTACAACTTTTATTTTGATCATTTCTTCATCCGACAAAATAGTAGTAGCATTGTTCATAAATTTTGCATATCGCTTTTATAGTTTATGTAACTATAAGAGTGATATGTAAAATTTGTGAACTATAAGAGGGATATGTGAAATTTGTGAACAATTTACTACCATTACGTTGGGTGAACAAATGATCAAAATAAAAGTTGTAGATCTCAGAAAGTTATAAAACTTTGTAGTTGATAACTTTTTTAGCTGTATTCATTTTGTCAAGAAAAACTACGTTTGAATTTCTTAAATTTGAAATTTGGATTTTTCAAACGACCTCGGATGGAGAAACAACCAAAATAAAAGTTGTAGATCCCAAAAATTTATATAACTTTGTAGTTGACAACCTTTTGATTTGAAATCATTTTGTCAAGGAAAACTACGTTTGAATTTTAAAAAATTTAAAATTTGATTTTTTTGAACGACATCGGATGGACAAACAGAAAAAACGGAAATTGTAGATCTCAAAAAGTTATGAAGCTTTGTAGTTGACAACTTTTTGATTTGAATTCATCTTGTCAAGGAAAACTGCGTTTCAATTTCTCAAATTTGAAATTCAAATTTTGTAAACGAAGTCGGATGAAGAAACTAACCAAATGAAAGTTGTAGATCTCGAAAAGTTATGAAATTTTGTAGTTTGACAAGTTTTTCATTTGAATTCGTTTAGAGCCTCAAACAATCAATTTAAACTCGGTTTAGGATAATACGTGAGGAACCCAAATCTAATATAGACATAAGTGAGTCTGAGGTGTAGTGGTATAGGAGGGTACGTGCGAGTGGGAGTTTTCCTAGCGATCGCGGAGTGCGGGATTATCACGCCAAAAAATGGCGTGACTTGGCGGACCGTAGGGGCCTCCCCAAATTTAAAATTTTTTGCTATTTTTTAGCCAGAAATCATGATTTTTGGAAAATAATTTATAGGGACGGCTCTATATCCAGCCGTCTCTATAAATCAGCAGCCGCCCCTAATTGAATTTGTAGGGACGGCTGGCCACCGTTCTTATAAATCTATCATTTATAGCAACAATTTAGTAGGGGCGGCTCATAAAACCGTTGCTATAAATGTCCTGGAGACGCCCAAAAGTTTCTACATATGACGTGACGTGATTGAGTCATGTCATGTTGGTTGGCATGAGTATTTTGGGGTTCAAGCCCATTAAGAAAAATCCAAAACAAAAGAACTTTTTACGTAGATACGGAAAATGATCTATTTTGCTTGATCTGGTGGTATTATAAATTATATATTTTTAAAACAAATTCTTTTATAGTTTCAAAAAATTCTTCTTGTACTTCTATATCTAAGTTCTCTGTTAAGTTGTTTTAACTTGCCGATCCAAAACAAAGTACCAAAAGATCATTAAAAATCTTGTAATTCTTTTAAGTAAATGCTAAAATTCAAGCACGACCCATTTAATTGGATCCAGTACTACTCCCTCTTTTTTAAATTATAAGTCAATTTGACGTTTTTGTACACTCATCTATGTATCTAGATGTAACGTATGTCTAGATACATATTAAAGTGAATGTACAAAAAAAAAAGTCAACATGACTTATAATTTGCAATGGAGGGAGTATAAAATAAAAATATTTATGGAATGGTATATTTGACGGTTAACCGTTTAGCCCAAATGGTTTCTGAAAAACTGAGAAAAATCATATAAATTTTTGGCCTAGAAATTAGTATTTTGTCATATAATTTTCCAACATACGTGGTCAAGTGAAATCAAAGTTTCTTAACAAATTGCATGCTTAAAATTAGATTTTTAATTTGAAATCAAATTTAAGAGCAGTCAAAGAAAGCTCAAATTTTCTATGGATGCTAAAGACAATGCACACATATGATATGTGATGCATATAGTGCATGAAACATAGAACATGTGGTCATTTTATCATTTCTGAGAGTTTTTAAAATAAATTATTTATATAAACATTGCAAAATGTTAATATATGGGCTATGGACCTATGGTATAACCTGTAAATCAACTCCGCTTATGATATTTTTCAAGAGATGACATACATTTATGACAAGATTGCTTTGTTGTCTTGAGGGCAACCCCAAAATCATCACAACATACTTCAGAGTCTTTATTTGAGGTTTTTATGACAATGCTTGTGGCATAACTGTTTACTTATTTTTCAACAAAGGAATGCTTATGTCAACCATGCCAGCAAATATAGATTATTGGTAAGATTGGGTCCCGTGCATTAAAAAAACATTACCGCATGCATTTGAAGTATCTTTTGAATTTCGTAGGTCATTAATGATTAAAAATCTAGGCATAATCTTTGAATCCATTTGCCCTATTAGTTTAAAAGAATTTAAAAAAAACTATCCAACTATTTATGTATATTTTGATTTTTAGTAATGTAATGTATTTATGAACCAATGATGACACCAGAGCTGGAACCAAATTTAAATTTTGTTTGCATCTAGTTTGAATCATATATCCTATAAAAGGTCAAATATTATCCTATTCACTAATTTGGCTCGGGTTCAATTCACGAACATCTTTATTTCGCCCGATAACATCCCACGTCATCCTCTTCTTTGATTTTCTTTTTTTTCTCCATCTCCCTTCTTCTGATTTTGGTCCCCACAGCCCGCTTCATGAATCCCTTTCTTCAGAGTTTGGCCCACACACCACCGCTCATACTTGGCCATCGGGCCGGCCCGGCTTGGCATAGCCTGGGCATGGGCCAAGCACGGCCCGCAGGTGGTCGTGCCGGCACGGCATGCCGTGCCTCCCGGGTCGGGCCGAACCGGGCGCCGGGCCTGGCCAACAGCCCAGGCATGGCCTGTCGGGCCATTTTTCGGTCTGGGCCGGCCTGAAAAGCCCGAGCGTCTTAACAGGCCATGTCGGCCCAGCAGCCCGACGAGAGGGGAAAGGAGGCGTCGTCGTCGCCTCCAGGCCGGGCGTGGGTGGCGAAGGGGCGGCGCTGGCTAAGAGAGGTGGGAGGCGGTGGCGTCGCCGCGGCAGGGTGCGAGCCCGTAGACGGTGTCGGGGACCTCACCGATGGTGGCCGTTGCGAAGAGCTTCCGGCGGCGAGCCGCTGGATCTGTTCCCGCAGATCTGCCCCACGGGGTCGCCGACTTCTAGAGGCGTGGGGGTGGAGACGAGGAAGAGGGCCGTGGCGGATCCGGCCGCACCCGACGCCGACGGCCACGCGTGGCAAGAGGAGGTAGGGCCGTAGGGGCACGCCGGCGGCAGCGCTTCCAGGGTGCGGGTGCAGCCGGGTGGTGTGTCGCGCGAGACAGAGAGGAGGGGTGCGGGTGCGGCCGCGCAATGGCGTGGGGGAGAGGAGGGGTGTGGCCGTGCGGGCGTGGGGGAGAGGAGGACTGCGCGGGGCGGCAGGGAGGGGGAGAGGAAGGGAGTTAGGGTTTGGGGCCGGGGGTGGGAGCGTGGGGGCGTGGGGCTACGCAGGGGAGAGCCGGCCCGTGGCTACGGCGTGCGGCTCCGCTTATATATGAGGACTGAGGAGGGGTAGGGAGGCGGGGACGGTGGACTGGGCCGGCCGCGCTGGGCCGCAGGGAGGGGAGGTGGAGTGAGGAGGGGGAGGGGGGTGGCCGTGCCGTGCCAGCCCACGGGCCTGATCAGCGGCCTAGGCACGGCCAGTAGCCTCGGGCCGGGCCAGCCCGAGCCCGCATGTCACCGGGCCGTGCCGTGCTCGTGTCGGGCTAAAAAAGCGGGCTTCGTGCCGTGCCGTCGTGCCTCGGGCTGCATGGCCAGCTATACCACCGCTGGTCTAACAAAGAAGATTTTGGCCCGCGCACACCGTTGGCCTAAGGTTCGAACCTGCACTATGAATACAAGAGCAGCAGCCCTTCATGCTAGCAACGACCCTGGTCCATTTTCTGTTTCCCTCCCCCAGACCACACGCAAGTAGCAGCCAGGAGAGCCATACCCGGATCTAGTTGGAGCCCGATCGAGTTGGAGCGTGCACGCTGAGGGCCTCGAGCTGACATCATGCTTGTACCTTTTCGTTCTCTATCTACTCAGTATGTCTTTAAGACTGGTGTGGTAATCCTAAGATTACTTGCGAGTTTTTGTATATTTTCAAACTCTACTTCCTCTTAATGAAAAATGTGCCTCATGGTATGGTCATGAAAAAGTGTTTCTTTAATAAACTATCTAGCTTAAGGGGGCCTTGGCATGCTCTGGTCTACACAAATCTCTGTCGTGCCCCTTATGATGAGGACATCCACCATGATAGTACACAACCATGTGTTGAACAAGCCAACAATGTCTACAAGGCTCCAATGACTAGGGCGAGAGCGCAACGACTACAACATAAGGTGAATTCACTCCTTGATTAGGCAAATTTTGCTGTGGGACATCACGAAAACGTCTATTTGGCTAGCACACACCACCGAACGGAGAATTTGCTGAGTACCATTACAAATTCGCGGTTGTTTGCCGGTGGACACCGCGTCGATTAAAATATTCATTTCCAGAGATCGGGAGAGAGAAACTTTCTAAAATGACCACTGTTGCCCCTGTGGACCGTACTTGGTCGAGCCAGACCCAATTTGGTTGAACCAGACGACCTTCCGCCAGACGCAAGGAACCCTAGCCGCACCTTATCTCCACTCTCCCGCGGCGCCGTCGCCAGCCCGCCGCCGCCATCTCGTCTCCGCAGGAGATCTCACCTGCCGCCACCCCCGCCGCTGGTGTCGCCCTGCCATTTCATGGATGTGTGAAGATGGCTTCGCCGGCGAAACCGAAGCAGCTCCGCCCGAGCATAGAATTACCGTCGAAGGGATTGAATCTGTCATGGGTTCCTGACGGGTATGCACTTTTCTCCTCTATTGATTTGGGTAATGCTGGATCGTTGTAATGAAATGGGGGTCGATTAGCGGTACACAAGTTAGGGTTTTCATGTTGTCTTGTTCTTGTCCATTTTTAGGATGGACATTAGGTTTGCATTACGGATAGCGGTGCGTGTCATAGCTTACTATGAGGCTTGCAAAGGAACCAAGAGCAAGAAGAAGAAGTGCAAGTGGAGGATCCATGCTTCTCAACTGCAAGATGGGAAGACTTGGCATGTTTGTTCATTTCATTTTTTTGTTCCTTTCAATTTTGTCACATTTTTTCAACTTGTGTATGATGTTGCCCTTTTTTGGCAGATAAAGAAGATGTATGACAAACATACTTGTCCTAGCTTAGCCAAACTGAACCACAACTGCATGGCTCACAATGCCTGGGTGAGGGACAGGGTTATTGACATCCTGTGGGATGATCCAACAATAGGAGCAGCTGTACTGAAGAAAGATTTGTCGAAGAAGTACAACATCCAGATTTGAAACTATGTTGTTTGGGATGGAATGACAATGGCTCTAGAGCAGATTCAAGGCAAGTGGGATGATTGCTTTGAAGATGCTTTTAGATTCAAGGCTGAAGTGGAGAGGACAAATCCTGGTAGCATTGTGGACATTGAGTGGGTTAAAGCTACTAAGAAGATGAGGTACACAAGGGGCCCAACAACGTTGCTATGATTCAAGACACTACTAAGGAACTGAAGACTTGTAGGCATACTATGGATATTAACAATAGAACATGCAGTTGTCAAAGGTGTCAGATTACTAGATTGCCATGTACTCATGCTCTTTGTCTCATCCATTCTATGCGCAACAGAAGTGTGGAAGACTACATAGATGACTACTATTTGGCTGCTAAGTTCAAGAAAGCATATGAGCATGTGATAAATCCCATGACAGATAGAAATCAGTGGCCTCAAGTTGACATGGGTTTCAAACTTTGGCCTCCTCGGTTGAAGAGAGCTGCAGGGCATCCAAGGACAAGAAGGATGAAAAGTGCTGAAGAAGGAGGCAAGAAAGGTAAACAGATGCAGTGCAAGAGGTGTGGTCAGTTTGGTCACATGATGAAAACCTACAATGAAACTGTGTATGACTCTGATGTACCCCCACCAACCGCACCAAAGCCCAAGAGAGTGAGGACAAAGAAAACCACTGCTACAACAACTGTGTCCACCCAACAGTCACAAATTGAGGGTGCTACAAACATAAGTGTTGCAACACCAACTCTAACAAACAGCTCAGCAGCAAACACTAGAAGGTAACCAACACAACTTCATTTCTTTGACTTGTAAAACATTGCCTTTGTTAATTGTGTTTGTCATGGTTTGTATGTCTATCAGCCGCAAGAGGTCATTGGAGTTTGTTGCTGAAACTTCCTCCCCCACAGCAGACCTACAGCAGAAAAAGAAGATGAAGAAGGTGTTGGCCACCAAGGCTAGGAAGACCACCAAGACAAGCAAGACCACCAAGAAACTGAAGGATGGGAAAGAGGAAATAAGCAAGACAGTGACCGTTTCTGAAGAGGTAACCAACAAGAGGGTGAGCAAGAAGAAGCTGATCATGGACCTGTGATGACCTGTTATGTAATGAACCTATGTGTAAGGCAGACTCTGTTATGCCTATAAACTATAATATGTAAGGTTACTGCCAAACATCATATGGCAGTTATGTAATCTCAGTTATCAACTTAGTTACTCTGTTGCAACTCTGTTATGCCTAATTCTCAGACTATTCTGTTGCAACTCAGATACTCTGTTATGACAAATTTAAGATGCATCAAGGAATTGAAATCATGTTATAGATAGCTGGATAGGTTCACAAATCAAGTCTTACAAATTGAAGCTACATATAGCTGGATACATGTTAGGCTGTTGTTATTCGTCACTTAACCAACAACACCAACAGAACTAACACTAAAACGAAAAGCTTTGCAACAGCATCTACAAGCAGCCGCTCTCCAATCTTGTTGACCTTGTTCATCAGTTTGTTGTGGCCGTCAACTATAGTCTTTAGCAGTGCCTCTGAATCTTTCAGATGAATGGTGGCACTCTCCAGCAGATCTTGGTAGGCATCAACACCTTGGCAGGCCTTCACCATGTCCTTGCCATCCTTCATCATCTCCAGCGCCATGACATCACAACATCTAACCTGACTACAAGCGTGAGGAAAAACACCTTTGGAAACCAAGTACTCGACATAGTGTTCTTCAAAATAGTATGTGCCACAAGAATAGTCGGTCTGCAAACCACATATTCAAGTCAACAAAAAAAACACATCTTTCACTAGATTAAAACCAGCCATCACAAACTTACATGCTCTAACAGTGGACACTTGTAGAACCTCTTTCCCTTGCTACCGGTGTTCTACGAAATGCGGCCGATTAGAATGGTTCTGCACTTGAAGCAAGGTACCAATGGAAAGAATGTTGCTAGGTCTCTGTATGGCTCGAGCAACAAAGGGGCCGAGTGTGGTGCTCCAAATGACGTGGAATGCAAGCTCGATGCCATGCCAGTAGCCCTAAGCTAAGGGATATAGGGTTTGTGCAAAGGGGGAAGAAGCACGGGTAGAGAATGAGGAAGAGGAGAATGGGGAAGAGACGGCAGGAGGGAGATGACCTAGGTCGCTTATACCTGGTCCAACCAGACCACGAACGCGAGTCAGGACTGCAGGAGCAAAATCGTCTGCTCACTATGCTTTCTATCTCCCGATCTCTAGAAATGAATATTTTAATCGACGCGGTGTCCACCGGCAAACAACTGCGAATTTGTAATGGTAGTTAGCAAATTCTCCGTTTGGCGGTGTGTGCCAGCCAAATAGATGTTTTCGTGATGTCCCACAACAAAATTTGCCTATTGATTATGAGCATGCATCTACTAAGAATGATTTACTACCTAATAGAGATGCAATGCTTGTACTCAGGTTTGAAGAATACTCCATGTATGGATAGGCCACTCAGCGTCCAAAGAAAGCAAGTTGAAGATGACTGTTGCTGTCCAGATTTTAACTTCCAAATTCATAGTGAATTCTGTACCAATCTCGATGGTTCCAACCCAAGTGTTATACATGGATGGAAAGATGGTGAAGTCTACTTTCATATGCAACTAACGGCATGTCGTTTGGAGCTCTGTAGGCTGAGTTATCCCTGTTTTAGTGAACACTAGTCCAGAACTCTGTTGCTGTCGAACTGGGCCAAAAATCAACCCATTCAGCCCAACTAGAAGGGATGTTCCTAGTATAAATAGCACCCCTACTCCTCCCTAAAACCCTAACCATGAATTTGACTCAGAAAAATAGAGAAGCCAAGTGCTCTTGTCCTTAGGGTTGTGCCATAGCTGCCCCTTTGAGGATTTGAAGTTTTCTCTTCCATTTGTTTTTGTGTATCCTTGTGATTTGCACGAGCTTGTATCTACCTTTGTGTGGTTTAGGTAGACATCGGTCCATTGTGTGTGGTTGGGCGACATAATTTGTCACAGGTGGCTACTAGGGTAGCTGTTGGTGCCATCGGTTCGTCAGGTTGCACGGATCAAGTTATCCCCCCTCCGATCCTACGACGAGAAGATTGGGAAATCCCTCGCATCTTCTTGGTATTCAGAGCTACGGTTTACTCAGTAGGATTTTTACCCTTTTCCCCTTTTACCTTTACTTTCCTAAACTAAAAAATCCCAAAAATTTCCACTACCTACAACCCGATCTGAAATTTCAATGAGTTTGGTTGCTAAATCTTTGTGTTTCCTTTTGTTTTCTACCTCCATTCTGTTTTCCCCTTTGTTTCCAATCAAGAATCATGTTTCCCTTTTGTTCTTGTGTTCTTGGTCAGGTCAAGTTCATCTCCAAAAGATTTTGCGCTCAGATTTGTAAGTTGTGCCCAGTTCAGAAAAATAAGCATATCTTCTTCATCCGAAGTCCGATTTAGGTGTTCTTAAGCTCGTTGGAAAGCTTGTTTGAAGGCCTGTTAGAAAAATAGGTGCTATATCTTTGAATCTTAGTTGAGATCCACAAAAGTTAGTAGTGTACCAGAGCCATCCTTTGTGGAAACTTTGAACCTAGTGAGACTAGCTATAGGTTGTTGCTCGTGGGCTTTGCACTTTGCTGAATTGTAAAATTGTTGAGAGAACAATATTAACTTGTATACAACATGGTGTGCTGATCTTAGTAGCAAAAAGAAAGAAAGAAAAAGAAAATCAAAGTACAAAAAAAGAAGAAGAAAAAGCTGAGATCAAGACATTGGTTGTTGGGTCTTGCTTGGTTTTGTTCAGTTTCATATAGTCATCATTTGTGCAAATTTGGTAGCCCACTTATCATAGGAGCAATTAGCTAGCATCTCTCTATAGCTTGTGCAGTATTGAGCTTTGTTCTTTAACATTAATTGCAGTTTAGCTCAGTTTCTTTGGCTACATCAAGTTTCCCCATCTTAGTGTGTGAGTTGCTAAACACATTCTACATATTCTTTTGATTTCAGTTCAGCAACTAGCCTTTATTCTCGTGGTTGGATTCTTACTTAGCTTTACAATAGCTTGAAGTTTTAGTTCACCAATTCCACATGTATAACATCCCTAGCTCCACAAATAAGCCAAGAGTCAAGATGCACCGTAGTGTTGATTTCACTTGATCTATCACTTTGATCGTGTCTCCTATCACCAAGGGTTGTTGAAAGGTCCTAATATGGATAGAAGGGGGTGAATAGCCTATTTAAAAATCTACAAGATCACTAGAGCAATTTGATTAGTATGACAAATAGCGAAATACAAACTTGCTCTAGCTCTACAAGGGTTGCAAGCCACCTATCCAACAATTCTAGTTACTATAATCACTAGGCACACAAATGGCTAAGTCACTACTCACTAAGAGCTCTCACACTTGCTACACTAAAGAGCTCCACTAGATGATCTTAAGCTACAAAGAAAGCTCTCAATTCTAGCTACACCAAAGAGCTTGCTACAACAAGTTTACAGGAATGTAAACGAGTGAGTAGGGTGATTATACCGCCACGTAGAGGAGTGAACCAATCACAAGATGAGTACCAATTCAATCACCAGGAGAATACCAAAGGGCAAGAGACAACCAATTTTTCTCCCGAGGTTCATGTGCTTGCCCGAACGTTAGTCCCTGTTTTGTCGACCAACACTTGGTGGTTCAGGGGTTAAGAGGTGTTGCATGAACCTTGTCCACACAATTAGACACCGCAAGAACCTACCCACAAGTGAGGTAACTCAATGACACGAGCAATCCACTAGAGTTACCTTTTGGCTCTCCGCCGGGGAAGGTACAAGACCCCTCACAATCACCGGAGCTGGCCACGAACAATCACCAACACGTGCCAAAGCTCCTCCGCTACTCCAAGCCATCTAGGTGACGGCAACCACCAAGAGTAACAAGAACTCCGCAGCCACAATGATCCCCAAGTGCCACTAGATGCAATCACTCAAGAAAATGCACTAGGAATCACTCCCAGTCTCACTATGATGATGAATCAATAATGGAGATGAGTGAGAGGTGTTTGCTTAGGCTCACAAGGATGTCAAGTATGTCAAAGTGCCAAGAGAGTCATCCCCAAGCCGGCCAAACACTATTTATAGATGCCCCAAAGGAATAGAGCCGTTAGGCTCTCACTCCATCTTTTCACGGGCGACCGGATGCGTAAATGGGTGTGACCGGACGCAGACCAACAACGTCCGGTCCACCATCTCCATCCATGTGTCACTACCTTCAAACCTCAGTCGTCTAGCTTCAATGGTCAAGTTACCGATCGCTCGTGCATTAAGTGACGACCGGACGCGCTCCTCCAACGACCTGACACCGCACGTGGCCAAGTCTAGTCAGTTCTAGTAAGCTCCTAGAGCATGATTTTTGTGACCAGACACGTTCGGTCACAAGCGACCTGACGCACCCCAGCGTCCAGTCCTCATATTGCTTCTCTACGCGCCCACGAAGCCAACGTTAGCCTATGTTAGCGCGACCTGACTCGTGCCCTGCGCGTCTGGTCCCGCCAACTGCTAGCATCAATAAGTGACCGGACGTGCAGGTGGCAGCACCCGGTAGCTCCTCAGCCCTCTCGGCCAGCTATGCCGCGCTGCTTATAAATGACCAGACGCGCCCGGGGTGAGTCCGGTCACCCCGAGGCCAGCGTCTGGTCGTGGACCTTCTCTTTTTCTTTTTCTAAGTCAACAACCACTTCACCCTTGCTTCCAACTTGCTAACCACAAAGTGTAGAACTTGTGTGCATGTGTGTTAGCATTTTACAAGGGTCAAGGTTAGCACACTAGGTTCCTAAATGGATATGCAAGAATCATGTCACCTAGTGGCACTCGATAAACCGTTTAGCCAAAGATTTCCCCTCTTTATAGTATGGTTATCAATCCTAAATACACTCACACCCTCTATGGTGTCTTGAATGCCAAAACAAAAACCTATTTGATACCTTTGCCTTGATCATCTCGGTTTTTGTTTTTCTCTTTCTTCTTTTCCAAGTTGAGCTTGATCATCTTCAACACATGTCCATCTCCATCTCCATGGACTTTATCACCATGCTCCATCACTTGGTATGTACCAACCGTGCTCACATGACACTCATGACAAAGGTTAGTACTTAGGTTTCATCAATTATCCAAAGCCAAACTAGGGCTTTCAATCTTCCCCTTTTTGGTAATTGATGACAACCTTTTCACAAAGATATACAATAAAATCTTTTTGGATTCATGTTGCTTGCCCAAGCATTTTACCATGTGTAAAGGATATGGACAAGTTTCATAAATTCGAATTGGTAGCATTAGCTCCCCCTACATATGTGCTAAGAGTTTGGATTTGAAAGCTTGCACATATGTATAGTTAGGAAGTGTGGGGAAGTAATGACTACCAAATGATACTAAGGTGTAAAGAATGGACCTTTGAAGCGTGATACCAATCGGAGTTGCCATTTGAACACCATCCTTAGCACCAAAATTTGTTAGATATCATTTGAAAAGCAAAGACAAACTAGATACCTCGTGTGATCAACATTAGAAGCAAGGTTCTATTGCCACTTGTAAAAAGATCAAGGTATATCTAGCTATCCTATATATGCTAGTTTTCATTTCATCAATCATTTCCTATAATCTAGCATACACCACACAAGCATGGATAGGGAATTTTAAGAACTTGTGCCATGCAAACAAACATATGTAATGCACATACAAATACAACATATAAGTTTATGAGCTTGCTCCCCTACTTGTGTGCTTCAAATTTTAATTGATCCCCTTTCTTTCACCTATCTTTGGTTTCTCTCCCCCTTTTGCTTATCTTTGGGAATTACTTTTCCCCCTTATCAATGACCACAAAAGGTGAGCTTAAATTTTAGATAGGTTGTGTGAAACCATGATAAGGGAGGATCATTTTCCCAAAGTGGTTCAATCTAGATCACTTGCAAAAGATATTTAACTCGGTTTGATCCAAGGGCAAGCTTCTTCACAACTCCAAATAAGGGTTATCATGCACCATGTTGAGTTAAACACTTATAGCTCATTTTCTAGATTAAACACTAGGTTTAC